CCCCCTTCCCCCCCCCCCCATAGCTTTAATTCTAACCCTGCCCCTCCAGTGCCTTCCCCATTTTAGGGAGGTGATCACAATCAAGCAAAAGGTTTCTGGTCCGGTATTTGTGGTGCTCTATCGAGCTACTATCTCCTTCAAGGAGCTCTGTGGATTTTACTAATTAGCTTGTAATGAGGTCACCCGGAAACAGCGTTTTTCTGTCCGAATACGAACAGTTTTTCAACTAGTTGATTAGAAAAATTAGCTGCCTAATTATATTCACACAGTTTGATCTTGATTGTTTAATGTAATGGTATTTTACTTAGGAAACTGTGTACTGCCGATCCAGCATTTTATTAATGTTGCGTAGTCACGAAGTTATGAATTACAGCATACGAGTTTTTATTTCAGTGCGATACACTGAAGTTCGTTTTTATTGGGAAATATTTTTTTCACTCAAATCAGAGCAAGATATTATAATTAAAGTCATTTGATGTTTTACGCCAACAATCCTACGTGACACAGCAAATATTTACGGCCCATAATTTGGTGAAATTTACGCATGGAGACGGTATTATTACATGACTTGGAGAAAGTCGCTGACACGTATTTGAACTTCAGACCCAGAATTTGCAAGGAAGCATAGTTTTTATTCAGAAACCTTGCTACAATGTCCTAAAAATGTACAAACATTTAAATGTATTTACGTTTAAGTTGTCCTATTTTTATACAACAGTTGATGTTCTTTTGGAGTTAAACAATGGGTTTTCAATTTGTTCCAGTTTTATCATGGCATAAATATTCTTGCATACATTGTAAATTTGCACGGAGCTCCTCAAAGGACAAAGCAGCTCCTGAGAGCTCAGTGGATACCTGACCAACTCTTTTCTACAATAAATGTAATTGTTCACTTATACATGCTTCTGTTGGAAATGTGCTTCTAATAGAGTGAATACTGTATTAGTAATTCAGATGTTATGTTGATCTCGCACATCATGGGCAATCTTCAAAGGTTATTTCAAGAAGGGATATCAGATTTGGAGAGCACTACTTGATTTAATTATTTAAGAGAATTATTCAAGCAATAATGAATCCCCAAAGCATTGGATGAGGAGAATGGTATATGGCAATAAAATGTGTTGTGTGAAGCTGAACAAATTATCGTAATAATGATATATTAGGATGCTCTTTCGCATAGTGATTCAATAATTCAAGTGATATATTTCTCGCATTTGTGCCATGAACTTCTGAGTCATTTCAGTGCCAGCTACTGTACTAACTAACTATATTTTTATTCCTAGCTGTGGACCATGTTTACACAGACAGAAATGAAGCCTTACAAATTGTCAAGAGAAATAAAGGCTCAAGATTTAAAGTCTTTAAACAGAAAGTAGATGCAGTAGCATTCTGCAAATGTGAAGCAGGAATTCAATCAACGCCAACAAAAGTAATACCTGCAGTAACAAAAGCTTCTGAGAAAGCTAATGAGTTCAAGGTAAGACAACACAGTTGAAATATCACATACTATATTAGAAGCATTGATTTATAATGTCTATTACTATTATTATAATGTCATAGACATTTCACATTTTGTGTATTTGTGAATTCTTATTTCATATAAGAACCTTTTCATACAGGGTGGTGTAGTAATCCATGTTCTTTCACAGATGAATTTCTATTTTGAAAGTAAGCTCCAGTCAACTGGCTGTGATTTGCCACTGTTTACAACAAAGTGCTATGAGGACTGCAACTGCATTATCAAGTTGTTGTCTGTATCTTGGTCTAAACAGTGTTTTAATTTACCCGTGAAAAGTAATTCATGCTGCATTTATTCTTTCTTTGCCAGGGTCCTAAAATGCCAGAGTTGGTGAGTTTGAGAAAGGCAATTGAGCATAACGATAAAGATAAAGTAACCGACTTGATTTGGAAAAATCCTAGGTATCTGATTAGTGCTGGAGACACACCGGTTTTACTACAGGTTTGTTTAGAAATTGTCTACTGTTGCTTGCTTTGTACATGCCTGTATTGAAATAGGTATATTCCTGATATTGCCAGCCACCTCGTGTCACCAGACTGCCCTGCCATTTCAAGTTACCCAACTGCCAACCACCTCACCTTGCCCATGTTTTTTTTTTATCAAAAACTGCAAAATTGAGATTTTGAACTTGATCAGAGGAGGGGAAGGAGTGGATTTATTTTTTGTATTTTTTTTTCTATGGTATGTGGCTGTTAATTAATTAAGCCAAAGTATCATTATACTGCTGGATTCCTTCCATTCTGTAGTAGGTCATCATAAACTGTTTTTCTTTCCAAGTTTTTCAAAAAAGCTTTTCACAAAAAATATATATTTCTTTCACAGCAAGGTTCAGCAGGAACATTGTTTGGACTTGCCCTTTTAATTGAGTGAACACAAGTGAACACACTTCACTGTTAAATGAAATAAAAAAAAAAATCAACTATTCAAACTG